AATTTTAAAATAGAAATATGTGCAAAAAATTAGAAGGGTGATTTGGTCATATAACATTAAACATAACCTAATAAAATATTAATAAAGAAGATAGATTAGATGGAATAAAACACTTAAACGGAAGATTCATCAAAAAAAAAAAAACCTAATAAATAAAGACTCTCATTTTATTTTCTAATTAAATATTGTACAATCAAAAATCCAATTAATCCTACACTCAAAAATCCAACTATTCAAATTTATTACATATGTACGATCAAATCTCTTGTGACTTTTAACTTACATGTTTATTCATTTACTCAAAATTACCCTGATAAAAGCAAAAAAACAAAAAACAGAGTTGTTTGGGATTCTTTATCAGGCACATATAAGAGCAGTGGTTATTAGAAAAGATAATTTAAAAAAATAATAATAATTTTAAAAATTAAAATTATAAATTTTTTTCACTAATCACTACAGGAAATCAGGGATTTAATGGCGTTTTATTAAACGTCACTTTTTTTTTATTTTTAACGACGTTTTATGACCGTCGCATATTTGTTTAACCAAAATAGCACCGTTTTGTATTTAAAGGCGTTTAACCGCCTCCAAATGCGGTAGATACACGCGCCCCTTTTTTGAAACCCTTATTTTTTAATCTGAGCCCTCTCTCTTATACTCTCTTATCTTATACGCAGACATCTCTCTCTCAGCGACGAAGAAGACGAAGGAGATAACTCTACGAAGAAGCTTCGTCTCTCGAAAAATAAATCGGCTGTTCTTGAAGAGAGCTTCAAAGAACACAAGCTCCATCAGTTTTTTAAAGCGATTTCGAAGTGATTTCGAAGATTCAGATCGATATCAATCAGCTGTTCAGAGCGATTTCGAAGATTCAGATCGATTTCGAGATTCAGAGCGATTTCGAAGCTCCGTCGCCACCGTCATCTGCACCGGCGAGGTAGCGAGCTCCACCATCTCCCTCTCTCTCTCTCTAGATCTCATACTGATTGTACCTTTATAAGTGTTTTTGGCTCTGAGTTGGTTCAGAAGTATGTTGGAGAGGGCTCTTGATTGGTTAGAGAACTTTTTGTTATGGCCAGGTTTGTCCGACTTCATTGATAACATTGTTATTGCCAAAAAATTATAATATCTTGTATATCAGCTTAATAAATCTTTTTAGTCTACAGAAGTGTTATATAGTACCTCTTACATGTTTTAACTTGCAATATGTGATATTCTTTTTGGCAGACTTTCTCTTTTCTTTTCTTTTTCATATTTATTTTGGTTGTATTTATGCGAGTAAGGCTATCAGTTGATGAGACTAAAATGTTGTTTTGAACTGCTTTACCTGATCAAATTTGATAGGAAGACATACTGTTGAAGTTGTATTAACAACTTTATAATTTGGGGATAAAAAAGTTAAGAACCCTGCATCTTGGACTGAGTTGTTCAATAATTTGTTAGGACTATTTGATAAACTTAGGTATCAATGAGTTTTTTTTAATAGAATAGTTATCCTATTAACTTCTCCACCAAATTTGTTTTTGTTCATAGTGGAGTGCAAGTTAACTTCTCAAACAAATATGTGGCATTTTTTCTTTGCATCTTTTTTATTATCTCTATGTATGTATGTTGCTACATATATATATGTATGCAGTTAGATATTGAGATTCCTTCTGAGAATTTACTTTCTTGCCCGTATGTATATGTATAAATGTGTATAATTTTAACTTTTTTTTTTTTTTGCTTTTCTAAAGGTACTCTTTGATTCTGAAACTGTGCGGTGGTTGAACCATGCGGTTGAAAAGATTTGGCCTGTTTGTATGGAGCCCATTGTTTCATAGAAAATTCTCCTCCCTATCATACCTTGGTTCTTGGAGAAGTACAAACCATGGACTGTGGTACGAGTCTACCGTCCTAAATACGATTAATTGTTGTCCTTGTTCCATTTTTCTGGTTCAAAATGCCTTCGTCTTTGAGGGATTCCCTATTCTACTCGAACTGAAATTTTGTACAAAATTCGCATACAAATAATGCGGCTTTTTGGGGGTTATATTAATTTCAAACTAAAACGCCTAATGTTACGACTTATAATTTGAAAAATGGCATTACTTACACCACATCATTTTGGATGAGTTTTATGTATGAAAATTGTGTTTTTAAATCATTTTTAATGTGTTGATGATTAGTATTGAGAATTATTTGGGTATATACACAAAAAGACGCTGTGGTTCAACATCTGTATATGGGACGATCACCTCCTGTGTTCACAGAAATGAGGGTTCTTCATCAAACCACTGATGACGACCACTTGGTATGTAATACTGTCTTAGTCATGGTGGATTCATGTCAATAATGTATTACTTCTAGTCATAATCAGTTTCGTAGCCAGAATAATAGTTGAAATTCATTAAATGCAGGTTTTGGAGTTGGGAATGAATTCTCGGACTGCAGATGATATGAGTGCAATACTTGCTGTGAAATTAAGTAAGAGATTGGGTTTTGGAATGCGGGCAAAGTTGCATTTGTTGGGCATGCTTGTTGAAGGGAAGTTAACAAATTACTGTTAAATTTAAATTTTACTTTTACATCACACATCTATAATGAGTTATCCTTTGTTATACTGTTCTTAATTTCATATTTTCTCCCTGCATCTGAAATGTGTAATCTGTAGAGTACAGAATCGATCTAGAATGTTTTGTAATGATTTTTAAAATTGGAATAGTTGTCATGTGCCATTGATTGCGAAAAAATGACTAATGCTTAGTAATTTCTTCTTGCATTTAACAGAAAATGTCTTTCTTTCTCTCTTCTAGGTCTTGATTGGGGTGAAGTTCCTTCGTCATTGGCCTCTCCTTGGCCGTTTGAGAGTATGCTTTGTCGAGCCACCATATTTTCAGATGACAGTGAAACCTATTTTCACTCATGTTACAGAACTTCCTGGGATTGCTGGATGGTTGGTAAGTTATTGTCATGTTTCATGTGCAACGATTACTTCGACATGTCTCTCTCATTTTTTTTTATTATCTTTGAATGATATATTCATATATATAGCATATAATAAATATATAAAAAATTATATATTTTATGTGTGTCTTTCATGTGTCATGTCCTATATTTTTTGAAAATTGTTGTATTGGCATGTTCGTGTCGTATCACTTGCCTGTGTTCATGCTTCTTAGAATCTTAGGTAGACAATAAGGGATAGAAACATGCCACAATGTCAAAAAAGTGGCTGAATGGTGTATTCGTCAAGTGATTCCTATAATGAACTTGAAGTGATTCCTATAATTGCAAGTTTTGCTCCAAAGTATTTTATTTTTTTAAGCTAAAAAGTTCAAAATGCCTTCGTCTTTGAGGGATTCCCTATTCTACACGAACTGAAATTTTGTACAAAATTCGCATACAAATAATGCGGCTTTTTGGGGGTTATATTAATTTCAAACTAAAATGCCTAATGTTATGACTTATAATTTGAAAAATGGCATTACTTACACCACATCATTTTGGATGAGTTTTATGTATGAAAATATCAGTGGATGCGTAGGTAGCTGCTTGATGGAACTCCACCACACCTGGAGATCCAAAGTAGAAAATATCAGTGTTTTATGCAAATCACTGATTGGAGATCATCATTTTCATTTAGAATCATCAAATTGCAATGTTTAGCAGTTTCAAGAGCTGAAAACAATATTTTCCAGCACTGGATTCTAATGGCTTTATTTCACTCTTGATTTTTGAATTTAAGATATTTGCCTTTTATTTCATTCTATTAGATTCAGAGTCTTTTCTGGAACCATTTCTTTACCTCCTTAGCAGTGTGTAGCTTTTAATAGCATGCCAAGTTGTAGTATGCAAATGTCAGAATTTGGAAGGTTTGATCTGGTTGTTTTCATCGGTTGCATGATTTATGGATTGATCTGATGCAGGAGACCCGGATGTTGATGGCCTTAGATGTTCAGGACATTATTAAAAGGCATCAATCACAGATCATCACCTCCTTGACAGATCTAGATATCAGGTTAGTTTAAGTGCTTTGTAGTTTTTTGTAGATACTTTATGCTTCTTCACCATGAGGCACAATGATCGGTTACATGGTAAACAAAAACAAAAGAGAGACTCAGAGAGGGAGAGTGCTTAAAACTTGATTTCTTTCCAACTTTCTATTCATCCTGCTATCTGAATCCTGTTTCATTGTACCTATGTATAGGTGTTGTCAAACCTGGAAACTGGTAGAAACATGCTGAAACACTTAATAGTGAATATATACTTTAAATTGTATTTATAAATTTCTGCAGAGTAAGTACATCATGCATAGTAAAACCTCCTAATATAGTTACAAAAAAATGAATCTAATTGGTATTTGGTTGATTGTGGATCTTTAATTAAGCATGCCCTGAAGACTTGGGTATTAAACTTGAAGGCCCAAGATTTGAGGATTTAACCTCAGGTTGCTTTTGTATGCTAACAAGTGTTACACTTATCTGAATTTTTATCTTTATCATTGCTTTTATAACTTCAGATATTCGGTTAATATGAAAATGTTACCTATTCATCTATTTTCTTCCATTACAAAGAGATATATTTCATCCCTTCTATTTAATTTTTTCTACTGCATTTATTTCATGGTTTCTAAGCTCATAAAACTAGGCACATATTTGTGTAATGTTTTCATCATTTGTCATTACAATAAATGAATGATTGGAGCACCATTACGTTTTGGCAACATGACCTGCACAAATTTGTAGCTTTTGGTGCACATGATTTCCCTACCCTGGTGGGAAGGGTATTCTTGATTCCATCACAGTTTTTCAAGGTGATCTCATTTCTAATACATTCTGGCATATCATTCTATGTTAGTTATTTCATATTCTCTCATTTGATGCTAGGGAAAAAATATATAATTATGTTTTATTTAATTTTGGTTGGATACCAGTGTTTTTTTAGTTGTAGCTTAGCTGCTGTTAAGATAACCTGCTCTGCTTATTGTTGTAAATATGTCTTAACTTGTTTTCTCTTGTTTTTTTGGTGACAGACGAGAAATTTTCGTTTCCACTGTGGCCTTGTATATGTTTCAGAACCAGGGTATGTCTATCATTATCATGTGAATTTAGATTGATGCTTGAATTCTATTCTTATTCAAATCTTGTTACATACTGCATTGGTTGTGCATATATTGGTTAAATTTCTATGTTTAGTACAAGTCATTTGTGGCAACACAGGAGGCTGTTGTCACCATTTGATATCTAGAGCAGAGAGAACACCTTGAATTTTCTGTTACAATCTCTCATTGGAAATAGTTGTGTACTTACCAATTTCAGATATATGCTTTTAGAGCTGGAGTTCCTCGGCATGCCATTATTAAAAAGTTTGAAGGTAAGGAAATATCACAACTTGAGGATCTGATATCTGTACTTACCAATTTTGTTGAAGTTCTTGCTGCTCAACAAAGCCCAGAGAACCCCAATTGGTTCTAGGTAGTATACAATCTGAACTCTAAACCTTCCAGTCTTATACTGTGCAGCAGTTTTTTATTTCTGTGAGATTCCATTTAAAGTTGACAATTTGTTTGTATACCATTAGTGCTGGCATTTTCTGTGCATTTGATAGATGAGTTATGCACATGCATTAAGATAAAAGTTTAATTGTGTCTTCTTTAATATGCTAGACCAAAATTACCAAGTTCAGATCATCCTGATAATTGAAATTAAATCATTCTTGATTTATCTTGCAAGTGTCCTTAAGAATTGGACTAGTTCGACGAACACCATTTATGTTATTGCAAGTGTCAACTATTATGGTTTGATGCAAATATTTGTTAATCTATTCAGTGATCAGTAGTTATTTATTTGGTTTAGACATGTATTTGGAATAAAGTAGTACTAGTAGAGTCAAAATCTGCTTTGTGGAACTAGAGATTGCAAATGGTTCTAGCTAATTTTTAGGAGTTCAGTTTGTGAATCTTTTAGTTCATCAACACAACTTGATGGTCTCTGAATAATGAATTTTCTGGATTCAAACATTAGGATTCAAATTGATTGTTTACAAGCTCTGTCAAATCATATGGTTTGGACCATGAATTGGAAAACACGTGTCCATGTTCCCACATATTTTTCTACTAGCAGATGTGTTTGATAATTGAGGAATACTAGTTTCTTTTTGGTTTTTAGATCTTTTTAGATTTTAAAATATTACAAAGAGGTTTCTCATTGTTGCTACCAACAGCTATTGAGTAAAGCTTAAGTTTGTTTTGTTTACTAGTCAGACCAATGAAGATTACAGATTCTGATTTGTGAAGTCACAATTATTATAAACTTATTACTATCTGATAGAAGCATGCTAAAATACTTTTTTTCTGACTTTTTCTACAATTTCAAAGCCTCAGAAAATGACTAATTTATTTAAATTGTTCTTCCAGGTACAAAACCTTCTTCAACAGATGGTGAGTTGTAATGCACATCTTATGTTTTATAACTGTAACACTTCTACCATTATTGATTTATGCACTTTACCTAATTTGGCTTCCATATTTTGATGCAGGAATCCAGACCAGTGAAGATTACAGATTCTATGCTATATCAACTGGGTTCAGTGAATTGAGTATCAAGGACAAGACATTAAATTAAATCAAAACTCAGGGGGTTTGTCTTAATGTTTTTCCTGATATTTTTTGGCGAACGTTAAAACATAATTTGTGGATATGTTATTTTGTAGTTAATGGTAACTGTATATTAAATTGAATGGGAAAGTGAATTAATATTGTATTTGCTACTTGGCAGCTTTTCATATAATTGCTTTATCTTTTGACAAATGTTTCATTTGAATGGGAACGAGAATTATTGATTCATATTAGTATTATTTTTCAATTTTATTACAGATATTTTTTGGTTCAACCACATAGAATTAGCACAATTTTAAAAAAATAAATTAAAAAAATAAAGATATAATGGCATTTTTTAAAATGCCACTACACAGTCAACGATTATATTTTTAAAATCCAAAAAAAAGCAATGCTAAAAACAGTTATGACGTCAGTTTAACGTTATGTATCACATTTAGCGGTGTTTTAACCATTTAACGACGTTTTTAAAGCGCCCCAATGTTATAGCGACAGTCGCAGCTTCGACGTTTGGTGCTAAGCGCCACAAAAAGAATTAACGGCGTTTTTGACACCTATAACGGCGTTTTTTAAACGCTGCTAAAAGCTGAATTTCTTGCCGTAAATGTATAATAATAAGACACTTTATGACGTCAGTTTAACGTTATGTATCACATTTAGCGGTGTTTTAACCATTTAACGACGTTTTTAAAGCGCCCCAATGTTATAGCGACAGTCGCAGCTTCGACGTTTGGTGCTAAGCGCCACAAAAAGAATTAACGGCGTTTTTGACACCTATAGCGGCGTTTTTTAAACGCCGCTAAAAGCTGAATTTCTTGCAGTAAATGTATAATAATAAGACACTGATTTTTATTTTTAATTTTTATTTTTGGGTGATTGTTACACTTCACATTAAATATATATATATATACTGAGACAAGGATAGTGACATTTGAATGCTCAAATTGTGATGCTAATGTTTTTGTTATCAACAGTTGTTTTCGAATGTATTTTCCTCTGATTCATGTACAAAGCTTAAGAACAATGTTCTTTTCTTTTTTTTATCAGATCTGATTTGTTCTGTTCTTTGTTTTTCTTTTATATGTTGTTTTTAAGAGTTTTTGGAAAAGATTTATAACCAATTACAATTTAGTCAAATACCACGTGGTATGTTCCAAACTTAGGCTCCGTTTGGGAAGAGAGGTTTGGAGTTTTTTGGCTAAAATAACCACAAAAAACAAAATAGATTTTTTAGGCTAATAAGATAAAATATCACATCTAACCCATAATCATTACATCATTTCTCTCACAAAGAAACCAAAAGCTCTTCTAAACCAGTCTTTTTAACCCTAGGCTAAAATAACCAAAAAAGTCAAAAAGTTAAAATGGCAACCCACTTCCCAAACGAAGCTTAAGGCTTTATACAATTGTCCTTTAAGAAGGTTTTATAGTTTGGGATAACTTTTTCACACCACATTTGATTTGTAGAAATACTAGTCTGGATAATTTATTTTGAGATTGTAATAGTGAAATAATTTATTCAAGGAGGGTGTTTTTGAAATTTTGTAACAACGGTTATTTCGGAATAAGTTGTCTCATCCTTTTCCTTAATTAGGATAAAATAATCTCACGTATGCAGGATAAAAAAGAGGACCCCAAAAATTAGTTATCTTGGGTAGAAAAAATTAGACAAAATACAAAATTATTTTATTCTATATTACTTATCCCCAATCAAACATGGTGTATCTACCTTACTCTCACATTTCTTGAGAGAGAGTTGTGTACAATTCATTTCGAAAGGACAATGAATGGTAGAGACATCATTTTTAAGTTATAATTTTATTTTTATCTTTTTGTTTTGTAATATATGCTTACATTAGAACTTACTACTATAGCAAACAAAAGCAAAGAGCAATAATCCTCATGGACCCCTCTCCCCAAAATGGAGTTTAGCTTTAAGAACGACTCAATAATTGAACATATCAAAACTAATCAATCATAGTGCCAAGTGGAACTTTTTCTCTTAGAAATAATGCGTTATTGGATTGGATTAAGCTTTCCTATTAGTAAGCTTTTGAGTTTTAATTTGTTAGTGATAAACAACTTTAAGTATTTGCAAATTGTGGGGCTAGTTAAAAGTATTTGCGTCTGCTCAATCCGGTCTCTAAGCATTTGTGTTGGCGTGGATATGTTTTAGTGACACTGACAAAACGGTTGCAAACAAATAAGAGAAGTATACATTTTTTGTGATGGCATACTAGCCAATGCTGCAAATCAAAGTATAAACACAACGGATGAAAAATTATGGTTATACCTTTTTCTGCAGAGTCTGAATTGAAAGATCTCGTGGGTAAATCGCGTGCTTCCTGAATCTGATCAATCAACCCAGCAATGGAGTAATATTACAGAATGAATATCACCCACATAAGTCACAGTCATCTATCCATATCAGTTGATATGATAGATATGGATATCCTGAGTGGTTATCCAAGTAAGTTTTGAATTCAAATTCAAACTTACATGGATAAGGTTCAAAAGGGTCAACGGGTCATGCCACATGGGCGCCCAATTTCTAATAAATGCAAATAATATCACTTTTGTGACTACAAATTTCTGTCGCGAACAAAAAAGGAATAACAATAATAATAATTTTTGCAATGGCATATGTACTTTTTCAATGAAAGCATGAGTATCTTACTTTTTCAATGATTTTTTGGTGGCTTAAAGATGTAGAGTGAGGGAAAATCAACTCAAACCACTTTTGTGATATATTATATTTTTGTGTGTACTTTCTTTCTTTTTTTCTTTTTTTTTGATCAGCAAAATAAAATTTTATTGATGAAAAAAGCATAATACATGCAAGTCAATTTTTGCATTTAGCCTTAATTTTGCAAGGAATTTTTTTTTTTTTTGTTGTAAGGAAAAAGTTTAATAACTCCAAATCACAACCCCAAAAGTTTGCATATCACTTGTGTATTCGTGTAAATATGTACTTTTTCAATGAAAGCATGAGTATCTTACTTTTTCAATGATTTTTTGGTGGCTTAAAGATGTAGAGTGAGGGAAAATCAACTCAAACCACTTTTGTGATATATTATATTTTTGTGTGTACTTTCTTTCTTTTTTTCTTTTTTTTTGATCAGCAAAATAAAATTTTATTGATGAAAAAAGCATAATACATGCAAGTCAATTTTTGCATTTAGCCTTAATTTTGCAAGGAATTTTTTTTTTTTTTGGTTGTAAGGAAAAAGTTTAATAACTCCAAATCACAAGCCCAAAAGTTTGCATATCACTTGTGTATTCGTGTAAGAATTAAACATTTACGACACAACCGTTATCATGTCATTGTCGACGAGATTATGAGTGATGTTTTAGAAATCTTTAGCAAGACTCATTTTTGTAATTTCTAGCCCTCAAATAAATTTTATTGTTCGAAGATAATGAAAGTACACTAAATTCAGTGAAATTTCAATGACATTGAAATAACTCTGGATTTTACATAGTAGAATTTCACTACGTTTTAGTCAATTATAGTGAAATTGCGCTATGACTTGAGTTAGTGAAATTTTGCTATCCAAGGCTTACAAACTCACTGAAAATTTTGTTAATATCTATTTAAAATTTCAAATTTTACAGAAAACAGAAATATAAATAAAAAATAAGAAGTTATTAAATTTGAATTTTTTTTCAAGACAAAAACAACAAGAACCTGTGATAGTACTGGGGTATTTTCATTATAAAATGGCCTTAGAAATTTTAAGGACTTGAATTAGGAATTGTTGTTATTCTGTACTTATAAGAGTTATCATATAATGAGTGAGCTCTAAAGCTCCCTTAAAAAAATTTATCCAATTATCCAAAAGGAAATGTTAGAGTAACAACTCTAATAGTCGAAGGTCTCTTTTGCATTGGTGAAGTGTCTTTGTGAGAAATGAAACAGGATATATACTCATATACCTAGGGTAACACCATTTAATAAATTTTTCAATTTTTTATTTTTAAATTTGAATAATTTCTGAATAAAAAATAACAAGTTTGTGTGTGCACGCGCAATAGTGCTGGAAAGAAGGGACTATCAACATAACTTCAATCAAATGTCCTTAGATTACTTGATCCACATGCCAAAAAAAAAAAGTTGCTTGCTTAGTAATGTGAAGCCAATTACCTTCCGCAAATAAATTATTTTAAAAATCTCTAAATTAAAAATAATAATTACTTTGAAGGAAAAAAAAAAATGAAAGGTAGCAACAAAAAAAGAGTTTGAGTATTTACAACAACAGGAGAGTCAAACCAAGTACTATTTGATCTACAAACTTGACATTTCACATTTTGGTAAATTTTATCTTTCAACGATGATAGAGACCCTTTTTGGAGGACTCTACAATCTCCAAGTGATCCACACCACTCATGATGTGGACAGTGAGTTGTGAGGGTCTTCTAAAAAGAGATCTCACTCATTTTTCTTTATTTTTTTAGTACGTGAGGTGCATTTTTCATTTGGAAGAGTCAAATCAGTTGACCACCTTCTAATTTGTTAAAATGTATTGTCAATTTGATTAAATTAATATAAAATTACTTCAAAATAATAATTCTAATAATAAATGAGTTCAAAATGAAATCAATTAAAACTTGAGATTTCAAAATTACACAAACGACAAATTACAAAGATTAGCTTTGTAAAAATCATAGAATAATTTGTCGAAATTATGTGTTGCGCCTTTGATTTGTTGTAAATTTGACTTTTGACAAATTATAAATGATTGTTTTCAACAAATTCCAATCACATCCAATAGTTAACTCCCCCTACGAATTTCGATTGAAAAAAATCACGCAACTCCATGTAGTCAAGGAGACCAAAGTGAAATTAATTATAAAATAAAAATAAAAAATAAAAGGCAAAATTCGTTTTGAAATTAATTATAAAATAAAAAATAAAAGGCAGAATTCGTTTTACCCTATAGTTCAGCCCCATTGTATTTTATCTGGTATCATTTAAAAATAATCACTTACTTTAGCGTTTGTTTGACATGCATTAAAAAAGTAAAGTTTTTTTTTACACATATACACTTATTTGGATCACATCAATTAACATTTAT